TGTCAATCTTAGCGTCTGAGGAGATGATGCTATGATTTTATATAATAAACAGCCTAAAAGATTACCAAAAAGCCTGCTCCTCTTCCCATGTAAATATCCTGAGATTCCAAGACTTAAGAATGCCTAAGGAGAAGGTTGATGTTAACGCTGCTGCCTCTCTGGTTTTCTCCAGCATCACAAGTTAGATGCCCAGGTGGCCAGAAAGTGATATTGGGACCCCAAACAGAATCCAGATTAGCTGACAAATAGTTGTAGGTCCCTCAGTTCCTGGGTCGAATGAGATAGGACGGGGAATCACCCATTTCACGATCCCAATACCCTCAGCACTGTAGGCAGCCACTTTAAAATTTGGAGTAAAACACAGACTGGATTATTCCCCCCACCACACAGACACACACCTGGGAGCCATGAGCTGCCTGTATCCGTGGAAGTCAGTGACTTTTGGTTCGGTATGCATTAACACACCCAACAACCAGAGCTGTTAATATTGAGATCCTGTGCTTATGGCTACTCAGCAGTAACGTTCCAGCAAGTCTGGGAGAGGTGCCAGTTGCCAGTGTTAGAAAAACAGCCGTACCAGGTTGTTTATGGCCCCTGGCTGTTATCTACTGCAAACAAAGCCAGCAGCGGGCAGACAAATTGTTCTGTGCATTTTGACAGTGGCTCAGCAGTCAGTAGGAAGGTCTCCAGCACCGGTGAGGACCTGAGCAGGGTCCTACCAAGCTGCATGTAATGCAGTTACCTGTTTGAGATTTGCTCTTCATTGTCGTAAGTCGGCTTCAACTTAGGGTGATCCTATAAATGAGAGGCCTCCAAGTCACCCTGTTACCAACTGCCTTGCTCAGGTCTTGCAAATTCAGGGCAGTCATGGCTACCTGGATGGACTCCATCTGCCCATCTTTCTCTTGTCCTACTGCCTTCCACTTTACCAAGCATCACTGTCTTTCCTTATGAGTCCTGTCTTCTCATGATTTTTCCAATGTACAACAGTCATAGTGCAAGAATCATAGGAATTGTATTTTTTTCTGAAACATTGAGCCTTCTCTGTCAGAGAGCTCTGGTGCCACAATAAACTACAGTTCCCATGATTCCCTAGCACTGAGTCAGGGCAGTTAAAGTGGACTCAATTTGCACTATTTCTGGCAGTCTGCAAAGGCCTTCAGTTTAGTCATTTCTAGGGAGAATTCAGGCTTTATTTGCTCTAGGACCCATGTATTTGTCTTATTTGCAGAATGCTCCTCCAGCACCACATTTCAAATGAGTTGATACAGGAAAAGAGATTTCACCGAAACCTTAGGAAGAACTTCCTGAAGGTAACAGCTGTTTGACAGTGGAAGACACTCCCTTGGACAGTGATGGAGTCTCCTGCTTTGGAGGTCTTTAAACAGAGGCTGGATGGCCATCTGTTGAGGGTGCTTTGATTGTGAGTTCCTGCATGGCAGAATGGGGTTGGACTGGATGACCTTTGGGAGTATCTTCCAACTCTATGAGTCTATGATCCTTTCCATCTGCTTTCCTCACTGTCCAGTTTTCACAATCATGCATAATGATAGGAAATGTGATGATGGCCTGGCCCTGGATGATCCTAACTTTAGTTTTCAATGATATAACTTTACACTTTAGCATCTTGTCTAGTTCCTTCCATAGCTGCCCTTACAAGTCCTTGTCTTCCTCCGATTCCTTGACTGCTTACTGCAAGTCAGTAAACAGTAGAAGGGGCATTTCGTTCGGGCAGGGAACATCCAAAAGCTGGAGATTTTGCTCCGTGGCATGTTCAAGGTTGCAGAGGCAAAACGGCCCATGCAATGAATGCCATTGTGCATGGATGTGTAGATTGTGTGTGGAGGCACACTGCAAACAGATGGCAGGAGATCCCCTCCTCTGTGTCCCACCATTGGGGGCAATGCAAGGTGCAAGGAAGGGCCCTCTCAGCTGTGGCACCCAATCGTGGCATGCCCTTCCCTTGAAAGTCAGACCGGCACCAACAGAGGTTCCCTTTTGCTGCCAAGCGCCCAAAATGGATTTCCATTATAGCCTTCAGGGGCTCATTTATTTCAATCAATCCTACTAGTATTCTTGAGAGAGCCAGAGTGGCATAGAGGTTTAAGCGTTGGACTACACCTCTGGAGACCAGGGTTCGAATCCAGGCTCAAACATGCAAAGCTTCTAGGTGACCTTTGGCAAGTCATAGAATCATAGAGTTGGAAGAGACCACAAGGGCCACCCAGTCCAACCCCCCTGCCATGCAGGAACTCCCAATCTAAGCACCCCCGACAGATGGCCATCCAGCCTCTGCTTAAAGACCTCCAGGGAAGGAGACTCCACCAAAATCTCCATTGAGGGAGTGTGTTCCACTGTCGAACCGCCCTTACTGTCAGGAAGTTCCTCCTAATGTTGAGGTGTGATCTCTTTTCCTGGAGCTTACATCCATTGTTTCGAGTCACACTCTCTCAGACTCAGAGGATGGCAATGGCAAACCCCCTCTAAACAAAACTTGCCAAGAAAGCCCCATGACAGGTTTGCAGTAAGTCACAAATGACTTGAAGGCACACAAGGAGGAGTCAAAGTAGTGATTTGAATGTTAGACTTAGGTCTATGGGAAATCTGGGTTCAAATTCCCTCTGAGTTATGGGAACTCACTGGGTGACCTTGGGCAAGTCACACTCTCTTAACCCCAGAGGAAGGCAAAGCAAGCCCCTGCTGAACAAATCTTCCCAATAAAATTGTTATTTGTTTATTTGTATTTTATTTTAAGTGTGTTTTAAATTGTTCATTGTTTAATAGTATTTTAAACTATTAGGGGTAGGTGGGATAGTAGAATATGAAATGTATATTTTTAATGTTGTAAGTCACCTCGGTTGCATTACACGGAGGGGCGGGATAAAATAATAACAATAACAATAACAACAACAACAGTTATTGTTATTGTTGTTGTTGTTGTTGTTAAAAAACCCGATAGGTTCACCTTAAGGTCGCCATAAGTCAGAAATGGCTTGAAGGCACACAACAACAACAACAACAACAACAACAACGTGAAACCAGGGTCAGAATCCTTGCTTGGCCATCTAAACCCAGTGGGTGGCCTGGGGGAAGTCACACTCTCTCAGCCTCAGAGGAGGGCAATGGCAAACCCCTGCTGAACAAAACGTGCCAAGAAAGCCCCATGATAGGTTCGCCTTAGGGTGGCTATAAGCTGGAAATGACTTGAAGACACACAACAAGAACAAACTGATGATGATGATGATGATGATGATGATGATGATGATGATGAATGATGTTGCTTGGCCACAGATATTCTCATTTTCACCTGTGAAGGAGAGGAGGCAGACAGCAAAGGAAGAAAAGAGGAGGAACCCCCTGATGGGGGATTCTGGGATATGCAGTCCACATACACACCCCCATATATTTTGCAAATGGGGATTAAAGAATCCCAAAGGGAGTGGCAGACATGGATCCACTTGCAGAGACCTAGCCCCTGCCGTCCCCATCAACATGTGGTGGATTTTTTAACCGCCCGGGGCTTTTTACGTGCACAAACCTCACGCCCAAGGCAAATGTTTGTTCACCAGGATGCTCCTTGCTCCAAAGTGCTTTTTATGGCTTTGCACACAGCAGAGCTCCACACCTTTTATAGCCCTTTCCTCCATTTAATGGCCTGTTTGCTTGCAAGCCATTTAGCCCTCTTAACCATCCTGGAGGGTGCAGAGGTGTGGAGCAACTGCAAAATTAATGCATTTGGAGATGCACTTTAGCCTCCATGCCTCTGTCCTATGGAATACTGGGATCTGTAGTACTGGCGTTCCTAGGGCTGGCGTCACCCGCTGCGGTAACTCACGCACACGCCATTGACCTCTTCCTCTAATTTCATGCCATACAGAATACTTAATAATATTTTCCTTTTTTGCACGAATGTTCTTCGTAAGTCATAATTCCCATATATACCACTGAATGTAACGCCAATGCTTATGACATAAGCACCTAGCAAAATGAAAATTACGTCTTCAAATGACGACATCATACACATAACTTAAATGTATTTACATATACATCGTGAAGATTCGGTTCACAGGTAATGTTTCTAAGGAAAATTTTAAAAGAATATTTTTTAAAAAAATAATCAAAATTTTAATTTTTTTAAAAAAACACACATTTTTGAAATTTGAAATTTTAATTTTAAACAATTCTGAGGACCCTCTTTTCTTCTCTCACTGAGGTTCACCTCACTCCCACCACCTCTTAAAGCATTTTAAAGAGATAGAGGCAAACGCCACAATGTTTCTGCCAAAATACAGGTATGAGGGGGTTATCGTAAAATTTTAGTTATCACCCAGAAGTTATTATGGTATATTGATGAAATTTTGTCAGTGTCATCATTGGTCCCTAAGCGCAAGATGTTGAGAAAATCAGCTCATTGTGCTCTTTATTTTTGCGACAGGTTGTGCCCAAAGTGACTAAAGCGTAAAATCCTCGTAAGGCGCAATCTGCCGACTTCTACAATAACGGTATTCGGAGGGTCAAGAAATGCTGGGGAAAATGCGTAAATCTGGATGGTGACTACGTATTACAGATAGGTTAACAACTACAAATCAAAACAAGTGATAATTAAAACTTTATGATACCCCCCTTGTAAACCACTTCAGCCACTTTAATCACTTCTGGCACATCTGTCCTAAAAATAAAGGACACAATGAGCTGATTTTCTCAACATCATGTGCTTAGGGACCAACGATGACACTGACAAAATTTCATCAATATACCAGGATAATCTCCGGGTGATAATTATTACTTTACCATACTCCCTTGTATTTGCGCACCCCACTTTAGTGTGTCACCTGGTGCAGTCCGCACCCCCCTAATGATGCCACTGATCTATAGTTTTCTGTGGCATCAGAGCTCTCTGAAAGAAAGGGCACAATATCTCACAAAGCTACAGTTCCCAGGATTCCATAGCACTGAGCCACAGCAGTTAAAGTGGTGTGAAACAGCATTATTTCTGCAGCCTTAGAATGGCAGAATCATAGCATCCTAGAGCTGGAAGAGACCTCAAGGGCCATCCAGTCCAACCCCTTCTTCTGCCATGCAGGAATACATAGAATCCTAGAGTTGGAAGAGATCCCAAGGGTCATCCAGTCCAACCCTATTCTGCCATCTAGGAAGATGCCATCCAAACCCTCCCTGGGACAGCCAGCCATCCAGCCTCTGTTTAAAAAGAAGCACACTCTAAGGCAGCGTCTTCCAAGTTTGAACAGCTCTTACTGCCAGGAAGTTCTTCCTAATGTTGAGGTGGAATCTCTTTTCCTGTAGCTTCCATCCATTGCTCCATTGTGTCCTAATCTCTGGAGCAGCAGAAAACAAGCTTGCTCCATCCCCAATAGGACACCCCTTCAAATACTTAAACAGGGCAACTATATCACCCAGGGGGTATTCACGGCTAAGCCCTCGAACCCTGGTCTCCAGAGTTGTAGTCCAAGGCTCAAACCATCGCTCCAAGCCTGACTCCAGGCATTACAGTGCCATTTACTTTTTGCAATTTTTTGGCCAATATCTCCTTGTTCTTCCTGTGCTTTATTCCTCTTTTCCTCTTGGCTATCACTGTCCTCTCCTCTGCTTGCGTTTGCTGCCTGCTGCAGCAACAACCCATGTCTTTTTCGGGGATGGTGGTGGTGGTGGTTCATTTTTGTTGATATTCTGACTTTCCGACCGATGCAACAAATGTGGTGGGTGGCAAAAACATGGTTTCCTGATGAAATGATACCGCAAAGAAGGATGACAAAGAAAGAAGGACAGTGGGAAGGGAGGGAATGTGTGAGCACCCACCGGTGCTGAAACAATGCTAACATTTTGCAAAAATGAGTCATGGCATTTTTCTCTCCAGTTGTGTCTGATGCCTTCCTTTTGAAGCAAGTACCAATAAATTAAAAGAAAATCAAATAAATCCAGAGAACAGTTGACCTCACCCACACACAAAAAAGTATTTTCTCTTTCTCTATTTTCTTTTCCATAGCAAATTTAATATCTCTTATTCTTCCTTTCAGTCTCTCCCAGGACAACAGAGCAGGGCATCTTAGCTGAAATTCATCTTGGCTCCACATCCCAAGTGATGAAAAATCCACCCTGTGCCAGTCTTGCATTGATAAAGGATATTACATACATATGCACACCAAGCCACTGGACTTGGGATATGTGTGTGTGTGTTTGTCCATATATATATATATATATATATATATATATATGGAGAGCTGCTGCAAGGAGGCAATAAAACATTGCATCCTGAATGTAAGCAGAGAGAGTGCTTTTTAATAGGGGAAATTGTCGAGGTGAAAACATTTTACAGGGCCAGATGGGAGCCTGGGCTAAAGCAGTGAGCAAACCACAGTTAAGTAAACTTGTCATTTGGAAAATAAATGATTGCACAGAATGGAGAGCGATATGATCCAGGAGGAAGCAGAAACCATTCATCCCAGAGATCCGACCGAGGATGAATTCCTATTGCAATGGCTTGGTCCCGTTCCTGTTTGGAAAATGCACCCACCATTTTTAAAGTTGGCATGGTATAGTGGTGTAAGTGTTGGATACAGACACTGAGCACAGCCAGGGAAACCCACTGGGTGACCCTGAGCAAGTCACACTCTCTCAGCCTCAGAGGGAGGTCCTGGCAAACCTCCTCTGAATAAATCTTGAGAGCCAGTGTGGTCTGGAAGAAAGGCGGGAAATAAATCCTGGTGGTCTGGAGAGAAAGCCGCCTTGCATCCCGTTTTGGGAGAAAAGTGGGATATAAATCCAATGAATAAAATATATAAATAATAAATATCGTGTGTGTGTGTCTTCATGTCACCTGTCGACTTATGGTGTCCCTATGAATTTGATAGGTATTCTTGGGCAAAAGTCCTCAGAGGTGGTTTTGCCAGTTCTTTCCTCTGAGAGATCCTCCAACATCTGTACTCCCATCCAAGTACCATCTAGGGCTGACCCTCCTTAGCTTCCATGAATAGATGAGATCTGGCGTCTTGAGGGCATTTGAGTAATATGTATATATGTATATGCCTTTACATCATATGTTGACCCTAGAAACTTCATAGGGTTTTCTTAGGCAAGGAATACAGAGAGCTGGTTTTGCCACTTCCTTCCTCTGAAATAAAGCCTCCAGCACCTGGCA